TTAAACAGTTTTTTGTGAAAATTTAATTTTTCACATATTGGCATTTTCAAGGTGTGACTTTAAAGTTCCATGATCTTGAAGACTTTTGCTTGTCACATTTTCTGAATGTCCATGTTACTAATATTTTATTAATAACATTTGATTGTCATTATGCTGTTAAACATTATGTAATGTTGCATCAAAATTTGAAGAAACCCCTATTTTGGGCACTGCTCCTATGATGACCATTTAAGGGAAATCATGTCACTTACTGTTCTCAAACTTACAGGAAAGAAACATGGGTCTAACATACAGCTTCAATAGGCAACGCAGTCTGTTTGGTAAATTTTTCTGGCAATTTAACAGTTTTTTGTGAAAATTTAATTTTTCACTTATTTGCATCTTTATTTTCTGTTCTTTGTCTGTACATTTGACAGCTTTGCTGCCTTGTTTTTTAATTCTTTATGTCATTTTTTGGCTAAAATTGAAATTTGCTCTATTTTTTATACATATAAAGGACCACGTTTAGACTAATATTTCTTCTTATCTATTAGCATTCGGTCACTCTATGAGCACTTGAGAATCCCCACTGGTCTAAAAAGAATTTTAAAAAACAACCAGCGGATGTGAAATTACATGTTTTTCCTTATCATAGGCGGAACAGATGGCAAAAATGATCATCGTGCTTGTAAATTAATTCTAATGGAATAGCTAGCGTGTGCACGCGACTCGTTCAAGAAGCTTTCCCCGACAAGGTTTTTTTAGTAACGAGCAAACTTAATTGCTTGGTCTACTTTCAGCCCTGCCAAGTGACAATGAGGATTGTAGATGTGTAAGACTGCATTCCCACAGATTTTAGATTGATCTATCCCCGGTCGCAATGCGCGATGCTTTCGAGTTACGGGACCCTGTTCTGTCGAAGAACGAGCGTCATGTTCATTTAAAGTACTAGTATGCTGTTCATTTCAATCGACCAGCAATTTTTTTCATGGACCAAGAAGCGTGCAGCCACTCTTGGGATAATCTTTCCCGAATAGATTTTAGATAGCTTTTGTTCCAATTGTTAACACACCTTCTCTACTGCCCATTTCAATGTGCTACATGTAGCTTGTACATGTCTGTGGGTTGCTAAAGTAAAATATATGCTTAGACTGGGTTCCCATACCTAAATCAGCTTGCGGGTAAAGGTTATTGCCCCCTAATAGCTTATTAGGCGTGACAGACATTTAAGCCGGTTACGTTAATAGCAATTTAGTGAGACCCCCAGTAAGATAGATCGATCCAAATATCTGTGGGAATGGTCCCTTACATGGACTTTATGTGTGTACTTCTTGAAAAAAAAACGCTTCTAAACTACAAATATAATTTCTCAAAATATAATCTCTAAAGGTTCATGAGCACTCGTAAAGGAGAATTTCAGTACGAATACCATAGCAATATACGTGTACTTCACCTCTGTAATATCATTGTGTTTTAAGGAGGGTGCCTTAAAATTATTGTGTTTAGATTAGTGTTATTAATCAAAACCACCGAGTAATGAACCTGCCAAGTTTCCTGGTCTAGACCATGGACCTAATTAGGGCCATGTCTAGACCATTATGTTCTATAGTGTAAGTTAATACATCACTGAAGGACCGGTCATTATTTAAGTTGGAGGAGGGAAGGGGAACATGTCAAACCCCCCCCTCCAACCGAAATAAAGCTGAAAAAATCCCTGATACATTGAAACTTTTCGGGATCTCCCTTCCACATTGATTGAATAACTCAGCCACCCCCTCAATAAAACTATAGTAAAAAAGTAGTGTGAATTTTATATTTTTAACTATGTCTTGTACGACAAGTCACAAAAATAATTTTTCTCAAGAACCCCTTATTATTTTTAAATTTCGAGACCCCCCAATATTTGCTCGAAAATTTTCAGGGCCCACATTTTCTCCTCCACTTCCCCCTCTAACTTAAATAATGACCGGTCCCTAAGTGGCGTTTCAGCCGATGCCATTCCATTCCTCCCGCTTTCCCACGCGTTCACATATCTATTGACAACCT